TCCCCGATCCCGTAGCAGCCAGAGCAGCCTCCGCCAGCCAGCGGAGTAGAGAGCGGTTTATTGAGCTTCCAGGATACACAAACGTGGGATGATTTCAGGACTCGGAGCCAGGGTGGTTCAAACTCCTTGGGTTAGGGGTCCGTCGCCTCAGCCCTTGCCCCAGCAATCTGTGTCTGTCTCCCTCATGGTTCCAGCCCCAGACTGACCCTTCCCCCGCTCACTGCCCTAGTTCCCAGGCTGCCCCAACTCGTCTGACCGGTCCGGTCTGCTGGGCCGTGCTCACAGGCAGAGGCCAGTAGGGGTCAGTCACAGCCCAAGCCCAGCGACATCCCAGCGCAGGGGGACACGGGGATACAGAGCACACAGCCCCCACTATGCCACAGTTGGTCAGGGTGCCACTCTCCTCCCTCCCGAGACGCCTCGGCCCATTGCACAGCACCGGGGATGGAGACGTGCCGACAGTAGGGGTCTCCTGGTGGCACGCGGGGCTCGGCTGCCCTGCTCGCTGGCTGGAAGCGCCATGTTGGGGCCGCGCCATCAGCCCCCACCCCGAAGCCGGAGCAGGTTGAAGTCTCCTCTGCACTTGGGCGACCCCCTGCCCTCTGCGCTGTCACGCGCCAAGCCAGGGCCAGGGAAGCTTTTTCAGTCGGGGGCTGCTGCCCCACGGGGAAATCAGTCGGGGGCCACACACAGGTGAAAAGTCAACCCCCCCATGGGTGTGGCTGCTGCCCAGCCCGGAGCCCAGGGCGGCCCCACCTGGTAGGTTTGTGTGCTCTAGCGCAGGTTCCCCAATGCTGGGTGGCCCTGAGCTTTGGGGGCCAGATCCAGGCAAGCCGAGGGCCACATCCGGTGTCACCCTGGCCTCTGGCACAGTCGGGGTGCGCCCCTCTGAGCAGCGCTGTCTCCCTTCCGCCTCGCGGCGTCCTGGGGCCAGTGCGCAGAGGGGCCTTCCCCGTCCTGCTCCCCAGCGAGGGCCCGTCTCTCCGCCTCCCTAGTCCTGCCCGCCCTCCTGTTCCCACTGCTCCCCTCTGGAGACGGGCCGGTGGCGCAGAGGGGCCATCCC